TTTCATCAATTTGGTGCTAAATTAGAAGCTAAGACTTTTCCGGCTGTACTATAGTGTGCTTTGATGACTGACAAAGGAATCCTGCAGAGCACAGAGGACTTTTAGGGCAATGAAACTACTCTGTATGACAGCACAATGGTGGATACATGTCATAACACATTTCTTCAGACCCATAGAATGTACAAAACTAAGATATAAACTATTGTCTTTGGGTGATAATGATGTGTCAATGTAGGTTGATCAATTATAACAAATATACCACTCTGGTGGGGGTTGTTGATAACGGGGAAGGATACGTATGTGCGGGGAAAGTATGTGGGAAATCTCTACCTTCTGCTCGATTTTTCTATAAACCTAAAACTGCTCTAAAAAATAGAGTCTATTGAAAAAAAAAAAAAACTGAGGCTGACCCCATGGCCTAGTGGTTAAGTTCGGCGTTCTCCACTTCGGCAGCCTGGATTCAGTTCCCAGGTGTGGAGTTACACCACTTGTCGGCAACCATGCTGTGGTAGAAACCCACATACAAAATAGAGGAAGACTGACACAGATGTTAGCTCAGGGCAAATCTTCCTCAAAAAAAAAAAAAAAAAAAAAAAAGACGGGAGTCTTGTCCAATTAAAGAAACATATTAAACATCTGCTATATGTCAGACTATGGGACAGATTTGAGGGACACCAAAGCAATTAATTTGTGCATGCCTACAGTGAGAAAAATGGAGGGCATATCCTTAGTGAACTGGAGTCTAGGAGAGAGATGAACAAGAATGTAAATTGCGAAAATTTCAAAAAAAGTTTTACAAGGATACGTACAGAGGATGTTGGGAGTAGAAAGGAGGAGGATGTACCTAATTGGACCTGGAAGGTAGAGGTAAGGGAGGCTTCCTAGAGGAGGTGATGCCTGAGCAGGCAGGGTCTTATAGAATGAGTAGGAGTTTTCCAAACCCACAGGGGAGGTGGGTGAAGCTGGGGACAGTTCTTTGATTGAATAGAATAGACATGATTCTGTTGCATATTGGCTGACTCTAAATATGTTGCTAAGGTGCCTTTAAATTCAGGTTTATTTTTCTGCAGTGGATAATTCCTTTTTCCTGGAGTGTAATGAGGTTGGCTTAATTAATGTTTGTAAAGCTTTCAGTCATCTTAGGGTGAAAGGGGAGGTAGAAGGGAAGTATATTACTTATTATCATAGCTTTACCAGCATCTGGGTACACAAGGAAAATTCCCTGAAAGGTCATTTCTAAGAAGCAGTATTATCTGGTGGCTCTCAAGCCTTATGTAACTTCCTGGAACAATGCAATAGCAAGGGAAAAGAAAATGACATCAACATGGAGATAATAATGAATTTAAATCATAAGCCTTATTGCCTTACTGCAGCTGCTGAGGACGAGACAAGCTGGGAGCTTCTAAACTTAACTCCGCCACTGCCTGGAAGCTTCTAATTAAAAGTTTTCAAATAAAATTGATAAGTTTCAACAGATAAAAGAGCAGATGGCTTAAGGACAAGAACTGAAAGACTGCATTAGGAAACCATTGGATTTTAAATCCATTTGAAAAAACATTCCACATCTGAGAAAGCGGGGCTGAGAAGTGGACAGACTTAGGAGGCTGGAGAGGTGGGATCAGACCCTGTTCCTTCATAAATTTCACTGTCAAATTTTAGTTTGTGGCACAACTAAACCTTTCTGTTGCTCAGAATCCACACCTGTGAAATGGGAGTGATATTCTCTGTCTTCCACAAAGAAGTGTTCATCCATTCCCTAGAGTACTTTTTATTCATTCTTCCTTCTTTCTTTCATCCCACGTGTGTACTGAGCACCTAAGAATACTGGTACTTTGCTGGGTGCTGGGGATTCAGGGTGAGCAAAATTCAGACAAGGTTTTTTGCCCGTCCTGGTACCACGTTAGTGCAGAACTCTTTATTGAGTGAATTGGCTAATTAAATACAGCAAATGAAAATATTTAAACATCTTTAAATGTTGTATAAACAGTTGTTGTTATTTGGTGATGATAATTATAGTGCCATATTTGTGTTTTATTAATTTGATAAAATACATTGATATGCATTGTAGTTAATCCTTGTGACAAATCTTCGAGGTAAACGTTGATAACTTAACCTAGAGGAAACTGAAATTCTGAGGATAAGGGTTCTTGCCCAGAATCTCAAAGCTGGCTAATGGCAGAGTCGGGACTGGAACCCAGCTCCTTCTGGGCTAGTTTGCATGTTCCTATGCTGCTGCAGGTGAAACCTGTTGGGCAGTCATTTGGAATTTCAGTCATCTGACCATTGTGAAACACTAATCCAAAGAGAATGCTTAAATGAGCAGTTCCAGAGAATGCTGACATCACTGATGTTAATATTGAGAGGTGGGGGTAGCCTACCAGGCAGAAATATTGCATAAGCAGAACTATGATGTGGGCAAAAGGAACTGAGGAATAGAGTCACAATGCCAAGCTCTTTGTTTGGACAGGTCTATTTAGCTATCACTGGGAGTTCCATGTCCTTCCTCGGTTGTTGTCATTGGGACATCAGTCTGCCTATGTCTACTCAGCTTCAGTTCAGTGCATAGAAGGCTTCCATTTTACCTCAATGCCTTGTGGAAAATGGAAGGTAGGGTCTGTAGGTCTCCTTGGTCTTCAGAAGCCAAGGCGAGGTTAGGGCAAAGCGGTGCAAATCAAGTCCTGGTTATTTTCGAGCTTCCTTGTGGCTTGGTTTCACAGGGTAGTCTAGGTACCATTGTAATTTGGGATACAGGAGAACTCCGACATTCCCTCTCCTACGTCACACCTATATCCAGATTTCAGAGATCCATACAGTAAATTTGAGACACTCCAGGTAAGATCCATATGGCCTCTTTGCAAGATATACAACAATTAGTGACGCCATCTGTGTTTTCCAGACACCCCTGCATGTCTAAAAGTGATGTCCTCTTCAAGGTCACCTCAAATGGTGCTGCCTTCTCTGGTTCTCCACCTCCTTCCTATGAATTCCAGTGGCATATTCTACTTCTCTGCTGGCATGTGTCTCTTCTGTTATTATGTTCCTGCTCTAGTCACTCCATTCCACAATCCTTGCCACACACAAGCGCCAGTACTATCCTTACATATACGTATGAGTGTTGTAAATATTTATATATGATGTAATTATATTAGATTAAATTTTACTAAATGTCATACATTTATGTAATTTATATAAAACCATGTTACTTCGCTGTGTCAAGCCCTTCTGTGGCTTCACTTTACACACAGGACAAGACCATAACACTTGGCCATGGCCTGCGTGCCCTGTCTCCCATTGTCCGTTAGTTCCTCAAACCCACCAAACTCTTTCCTCCTTCGTGGCCCTCACTCATGCTAGTCCCTCTACTGGGACTGTTTCTTCCCCACATGTTTGGAAAGGCTGGCTTTTTGCATCCTAAAATCAAAGAATAGCCTGTTTTTACTCATTCTAGCCCTTCATGCTCTATCTCAGCTCCCCATTTTTTATCCCTCTCTCACTCCATTAGCCTTTGTGTAATTTTTTTTTTTCTCCTCCACTGGAGTGTAAGCCTCCTGAGGAAAGGGACACATCTGATGTATCTTCACAGCTTGGCACTGTGCCCAGCAGAGAGCTGCTCAATAGTACATTGAAAGAATGGACTTGGGATATGTCTTGTTACCCATCCAACCTACAGTGCAGCTCACTGTACATAATAATAATAGTAACAATGGTTACTAAGTGTCGACTATGCACCAGGCACTCTTCTAAGCACCCTATGTGAATTCACCCCTTTAATTCTCATAAAAACCCTATGAGATTTGTACAGTTATCAGCCCCATTGTTCAGACGAGAAAACCAGTAAGTTTTAAATATTTAACAGATCAATAATTTGCTCAAGACTGTACAGCTGGAAAATGACAGAGCCAGGATTCAGGCCCAGACATCCAGGCTCTCCAGCCCTGCAGTTACCTGATAACCTTGCTGTCTTCCTGGAGCAAAGAGTCCCATAAACATTTGAGTTCATCAAAAGAAACTTGGAACAGGCTGCAGCGTGGGGAAATTAATCAATCTCACACCTGTGACAGTGTACCCTCCTGCAGCCTGGGGAGGCCAGGCACCGCCACGTTGTTTCTTTACTGTGTCCATATGAAAGGAAAACCAGAGTAATCTCTGCAGATGCTGGGACTGAAAGAACCATTGTCCCCTCATTGGAAAGCATAATTAAGAGCAGCTCTGCCCGTTAAATGAGGCAATGAATGCTAACGCATTTCGTAGAGTGTAAAACGCTCTATAAACATTAGTTATTCTTATCTCCAAGCTCCACGGGACAGTAGCTTATGTTATGGAACTGCTGGTTCAGAATGTTTCAGAATGTTTCAGAAGTACTAAGTCTACCCAGTAGTCAAGGAAAGGAAATGCCTCTGGTTTATTCTCTCTGATCATCCTGAAAACTAAACAGAAATTCATTCTTTCTCCTGCGTTTCCAAAATCCAGGGTCAGAGATATGCAAATTTAAATATGCGGGCTGCTTCTAAATGATACATGAAAGGGATTTTTGAAATGAATGTACTATGATTGAATTTCTGGTCAGTCACCCAGAAGGCATTTTGCAGTAAGCTCTGGACCCAATTCTACTGAAAATGTATGAAGCTTTGGTGCCTGCAGCCAGTCTAACCACAGACAGGGTCCTTGCCACAGAACTTCTATTAAATGATACAGACCCTGAGGCTCAAAGTTGAAAAACAAATTAGCATAAGCCTGAAAGAAATCCGATACAAAGTTACTTTAAGAATACCTTTTCCGTAACCTTAGCCTAACAACAAAACCTCTTTGATTTTAAATGTTTGATAAGACCAGCGTGCATTAATATGTAACTTGGCTTTTTCAATGGAGATAGCTTTGTCACTTTCATAAGAATTTAGCTACTCTTTGGGAGTAAGAATCTTGCTATCGTGTGGTTCAAATAAAGGTCTCTTTGACCTGTCTTACCGATAGATAAGAAACAAAGGTAAAAAATCACTTACCGTATGTGACTTACAATGAGGTCATTTTTAAGAATAACTGACAGCAGTTGGCTTTCTTAAGCAGGTTGGAGAGCCCCACTACTCACCTTGTTTATTATTAAACGAATTTGCTAAGCAACCTTGTTTCTTGGAGATGATCAAAGGTAAGTCTCAGCTTTATCTGACTCACCACAAAATTCCAAAGTAGCGGAATCTTAAATTATATTTCCTGCCTTTTAGTGTTTTTTTAAAATTCTGCTAGTAATGCACTTATAAGGTCTTGTACAACAAAAACAGAGACAGTACAGGTGAAACTAATCTCACCCTCAGCCCCCCAGTCCCCCACTCTTCAGAAGTAACTGCCAGAGTCACTTTGGTACATCTCCTTCCAGACCTTTCTCTACACATTTGCCTCTATGTGTATATGTATTAAATTTTTCAAATTTATTGTAAAATAAGTTATCAATCACCATCACAAAACTTAGTGGTTTGAAATAACAAACCTCTGTTATCTCACACATTTTCTGAGAGTGAAGCATCCGTAAGTGTCTACACTGGGGGCTGGGCTTATGATCCCTCATGCAGTTGTAGTCAGGATGTGAGCCAGGACTGCAGTCATCTGAAGGCTGGATGGGGGCTGGCGGATCTGCTTCCCTAATGGCTCACTCACTTGGCTGTTGACTGGAGGACTCAGTGCCTCACTGGCTGATGGCAGGAGGCTGCCACATGGGCCTCTTCACAGGGCTCCTTGAATATTCTTACAACATGGCAGCTGGCTTCCTCTAGAGCAAGTGATAAGAGAGGGAGAGAGCAAAAGAGAGAGATCAAAGGGGAAGCCACGCTGCCTTTTTATAAGCTAGTCTTGAAAATAACACATTGTCATTTCCACCATGTCCTACTCATTAGAAATGAAACACTAAGTCTGGCCCACATTCAAGGGGAGGGTTATCAAGCTCCACCTACTAGAGTATCAAGGAATTTCTGGACACATTTTGAAACTACCACATACAGCTTATTGCACATATGATTCTGTAACTTGCTTTTATCACTTTTTATTTTATTTAGATTTTATTTTATTTTGTTTGGACTATTTTATTATGGATGGATTGTTGTTATTATATGCAGCGTCATTCGTTTAACTGCTGTATACTATTCCACTATTTATTTAATCATTCTCTTCTTGATAAACGCACCTTGAGACTGATCTCAGATTTTCACTTCTACAGATGACAGAGCAATTGGATGCTTGCTTATGCTTCTTTAGCACGTGTACTGGGATTTCTCTAGTAAAAATGCATTGAAATGGAATTGCTGACTTGAGGGATCTGCTTATCATAACAGTTACTGTCAAATTGCCCTCCAAAATGGTTGTTCCAATTTCTCACTGTTCATCCCTCCTTGACACTTGGGGGGCCTTATGGTAGAACTTTATTAGGTAAAATATCTTAGGAGACTTGCAGATTATTTTGGCCCTTTTCAAGTCTGGGTTTGCGAGAGACCTGAGAATTGTCCCATTTGACACCCACTTTACTCATGATTGCAGCCTCACTCCTTCAGTTCTGCTTGAGTTAAGCAAAACTCCAGGAGCTTGTCCCTCAGGAGCCAGGAAGGCTTAACTGTTGTTTACGAAGGGCTCAGAGGTTCTCAGGTACAAGGTGCCCCTGGAGAGCCAGGTTGGTTAGTGTTCATTCGAAACCACTTCCTCTATTTCAGTAGCAGCTGAGAAATCACATGCAGCAATCCAGCATGTGGATTTCAATGCAAAGGAAATGCCATTTTAGTAGCAACTATTCCTGGACTTTGCTGCGCCTTCTTATTGCAAGTTATTGATGCATAAAATCACTGAATCCTCTGGGCCCTCCCACCGTATAACTTATCCTTACTTTAAAACCAACAACCAGACTGACTTCCTTCCATTTAAGCTGCCAAGTGTCCTTGGCTGGTAAGAATCATTAATAGCAGCTACCAACCCTGATCAATAATTAATAATATCAATAATTAACAGCAGCTACCAACCCAGCAACATCTGAACCACACAAAAGGGTTTGGCCTGATTTATTTCTGTTTACTGTGCCAGTGAGAACAGCTGGCCAAATCCAAAGTAGTGTGTCATTGAGGCAACCATCATTCATTCATTCCACATATATTTATTGAGCCCCTACCATGTGTAAGTACTGTGCTGTTTGATGGGGGGGGGGGCGGGGGGGGAAGAATATTAACATGATTAATACCCTTGAGAATATGAAATCTTATGATTATGACCAGGTGTTTAGCGCTTCTTGTGTACCAGGCACTGTGGTAAGCTGTTCATAGACACTAACACCTTTCATTCTCACAGCAGTCCTGTTTAATGAGGTAGCATTGCCATTTTGCAGATGTGTCATGATCAATGCAGAACCCTAGTTGTGTCATGAACCAGCTGCTCCTCTCTATCCAAGTTCCTAAGCCAGCTCAGCCCCACGGGTGAGAAAGCTGGACTAGTTCAGCTTTTGCCAAAACGTCTTTCTTCTCGGAAGAAGCTCCATGAAAACTGGGAGCCATAATCACAGCATATACCCTGCTCAGACATCCCCGAGGCCCACAGTGGCTGCTCCTGTGGATCTCAGCTCAGAGATGCTTTCCCTGTGCTCCTGACACGCTTGGACCCCCAGAGCCCACACTCTCATAGCTCTGTGGACCTTCCTTTCTGATTCTTAGCACAGTGGAAGGCCACGTTTCTGAGATTATTTGCTGTGCCTCCGTCAGGATGCTGTGAGCTCCACGAGGGTGTAGACTGTGCTTTTTCTGCTCACTTCTGTTTCCCAGAGCTTGGCACAGAGCTTGACCTAGATAATCAATATTATTTCGTCTGTTGACTAATTGCTGTGCTAAAGGCTCTAGAAAGAACCACACTAAAGAAGCTTGGAGACTTGTTCAACTTGTTTAACTTGTCCCACACTTTCCAAGCCTTATTCAACAAATATTTATTATATCCTCTGATCCAGGCACTGAACTAGGTACTGAAGATGTAGCAATAAACTAAACAGACATGGTCCTATTTTCTTGGGACTTGTATTCCAGTGGGGGATCCAGATGCTAAATGAGTCAAATAAAATGAATAAGATAATTTCAGATATTTGTAAATACTGAGAAATAAAATTAAACCAAGAGCTGCTAACAGGATGAGGGGTGGTCAGGGAAGCCCTCTCTAAAGAAGGGACATTGGACTGGGACTTGAATCATGATAAGGAGCCAGCCTTGTGAAGTTGTAGACACAGAGTTTTCTCTATCTCAGTAAATGTATCAGTTGCTCAGGACAAGACCCTTAGAGTCATCCTGACTCCTTCCTCTTGCACTCCTGTTGCCCATATCTTCAGAGTGTTTTAAACTGACCGGCTTCTCTCCACCCTCTCTCCACTGCTACCACACTAGTCCAAGCCATCACCATGTCTCACCTGGACTACTGTAAAAACCTCCTAACAGCTTTCTCTGCTTCCATATCTCCGCCCCCTGTCTGCTGTCTGTGAGTCAGATCATGTCAGTGCCCTGCTCTCATCTTTCACTGTCTCCTTCTTACACTGAGGGTAATATCCCATTACTAACCAAGGTCTGCAGAGTCTCACATCATCTGGCCTCCTCTCTACTCCCATTTTCTACCACTCCCCCATTCCAGGCACATTGCCCCTACTGCTATAGGCCAAACATTTTCCCACCTCGGGCTCTTTGCACTTGTGGATCTCTCTTGCTGGAAAGCTCTTCTCCCTATGCTTTTGTGGTTTGCTCCATCACTTTATTGAAGTTTTGTTCAAATATTAACCAGAAGCTTCCCCAACCCCCTATCGAAAACAGCAATCACCATTATTTCCTATACTTTAATCCTGTCTAACTTTTCTTCATAGGACTCCTCATACAAGGCGTTATGTTATGTTTGTCTGTTGTCCTCTCCTATTAGAATGTAAGCTCCGTGAAAGTGGGAACTGAGTCAGCTTTGTTCACTGTTGTATTCCCAATACCTGAAATAGTGGTCCTCAACCAATATTTCTTGGATGGACGGATGGATGACAAAATGTAAAGACCTTGAATCTTGATATGTTGGAAAAACAGAAAGAAGGCAGGAGTGGGAAAAGGGAAGAGGAAGCCAAAGAAGCAGGCTGAGGTCAGACCACCCAGGACCTTGTAAGTGATTTTAAGAAGCTCAGAATTATTCTAAGAGAATCACGAAGTTGTTCACCTCTGGAAGGCTTTTGCTTTGTACTTCCTAATAACAAGTGACATGACATTTGGAGAAACATTGAACTATGTGACCTCTTTATTATGTTCAGTGATGTCCAGAAACAGAGCTTCGCACTGTTCTTTGATCCTTTCACTGTTCACTTGAGATGCTATGGATTAAATAGCACATATTGAATTAGCTACCTTGACTTGCTATGTACACGCACTTTCCTGGGGAGCGATTCCTGACCTCCCAAAGCAGAGTTAAGGGTCCTGCCACATGCTCCTACAGCTCCCACTGATACCAGAACATGTGGTACTGCTCTGTGGTGGCTGTTTGTCTGTTGCTTCCACTGTAGTGTAAGCAACTTGAGTGGGGACCTTCTCTTGTTGCCTACTCTAACTCAGAAAGCTCAGAGAGGCTGCTGGTCATCTGTATCCAGCCCATGAAGGAGTGTCTTTCACATTTTGTTTTATGTTAATTCAAAGTAGCTGCCAATGTTTTAGATTTTTTTTAAATGTATTTCTGGCTTCTGTTGAAAATTTATAAGACATAGTAATGCTGTTCCCAGGGTCTCAACAACTAGAGGAATTGAGTAGAAGTTACACCATTCATAGGAGGCATGCATTCTCCAGCAAGCCACGTTCCCCAGCACTCCCTATTAGTTTCTAATCCTAAGATTGAGAGTTTCTTGTCATTTAACATCTGATTGAGTTAGAGTTATTGTTTTCTTATGGTAGAGAAATAAAATTCTGTATCCAGGGCCCAGCCTGGTGGCACAGCAGTTAAGGTCATACATTCCACTTCAGCAGCCCAGGGTTCGCTGGTTTGGTCCCCAGGTACAGACCTATGCACCACTTGTCAATCCATGCTATGGCAGGAGTCCCACATATAAAGTAGAGGAAGATGGGTATGGATGTTAGCTCAGGGCCAGTCTTCCTCAGTAAAAAGAGGAGGATTGGCAGTAGATGTTAGCTCAGGGCTAATCTTCCTCAAAAATAAAGAAAAAATTCTGTATCCAATTTGCCATCAAAAGGCTACATGTTATTGAACCTAGTACATGGAGCCCCTTTTGGGCAGTTGAATTTGTGACCCTAGACCCAAAATAAACAAGTGTTGCTATTTGGTGTGTAAAAACATAGGCCTTGACTATTCAACATAATAAAGATATTTCTCCCAAAATTGACATATAGATTTTTATACAATTCCTATCAAAATTCCACCAAGATTTTTTGTAGATACAGACAAGATTATTCTAAAATTTATGTAAAAAGTCAAAGGAACTAGAATAGCTAAAATAATTTTTTAAAAGAACGATAAAGTGGGAGGAATCAATCTATTTAATGTCAGGACTTATTATATAGCCACAGTAATCAAGACTGTGTAATATTAACACAAGGATAGACTCATAGATCAGTG